ATGATAAACTGGGCATGGTGGTGCACGCCTGTAATCCCAGGACTTGAGAGGCTGAGGCAAGAGGACTGCGAGCACAAGGCCAGCCTGAACAGAGTGAGACTGTCTTTAAAAAAAAAGAAAAAAGGTAAGGTTGATTAAGTAGAGAAATTCATATACAGCATGAAGACTGAAATAGCTCTAATCTTTTCCTGGGGGCAGGGATTGAGCCCCAGGATCCCACACATGCTAAACAAGCACTCTACCACTAAGAGACACTCTCCATCCCAACTCTAACTTTTAATTAACTAGTCAAGGAGCCTCTAAGCAAAATTTTCTGCATACTTAACTTCAAAGACAGCAATTATTCACAGGACAATTTTGTTATATGCTGAAATTTAAACTTATAATAAGCACAAACAAGGGTGTGCAAACTCAATTTAAAGTACACTCAATCTTAAATGAATGAGGTTTTCTAGAAAAAACTGCTTATTCCACTCAAACCTACTATTCAACTTTCTTTATGCAGGTGATTGTCTAGCTAGATCAGTGATGGCAAACTTTTTAGAGCTTTCCATAATACAAACAGCCCGGGGCAGCACATGTGCCATAGGTTTGCCACCACTGGTCTAGACTGAAGACTGGGTAACACAAGGCAAAGTAGTTTTACCACAGAAATGGAAGGTGAATTTAATGAGTACTGTACATTAAAAAACAATTCCTTAGGAATGACAGCTTGGGTTGGTGTGTAACTCAGGGGTAGAAGATGTGCCTAGCAATGTGCAAGACTCAGTTTCAGCCTCACTACTGCAAACTGAAAAAGCTGTGTAATCATTCCAGTGTTTCCATGCTTATTCTCTTAAACTGTGAAAGTCTTTGATGTGAGAATGTTTTATGATCATCCAGATATTCCCAGACCCTAATAACACTGATACTGGCACCACAGTACAGCTTCTGATGTTTCTTAAAGGAATGATTGATTGAGCTGGGTGTGGTGATGCATGCCTGTAATCCTAGCACTTGGGAGGCTGAGGCAGGAGGACCACTGTAAGTTTAAAGCCAGCTGTGGTTACAAAGTGAGTTGAAGACCAGCCTGAACTGCACAGTGAAACCCTGTTTCAAAAAGACCAAAGAAATGACTGAGCTTTCTTACTAAAAAATGAAAATTAATTTGTCCAACAGATCAACTGAAAGCTCACTATTTGCCTTAGTGAAGCAAAATTCATGGCCCCCCTTAAAATACATCCCTCCTATGAACAAAAGAAGTGATCAGAAAATGCAATGATGTTTACATTTTTAAAAATTACAGTAAAAGACACATTATCATTAATTCTTCTCAAAATACTCTGAACATACTCATCATTCTTGTCACTTTCTGAAGCAGTTCTGGAATCCCTCTTTCATGAGCACCTTAGTTGTGCTGTTTAGTCTCCCTGCTGTGACTGCCTCTTCCCTGAATGATTCAAAATGTTTACCTTTATGGTCATTTTGACTTTGAGGAAGAGCCTTAAGTCACATAGTGAATATGGTGGATACAGTGGATAAGGTAGCACTGTAACGTTTTTTAGGAGCCTGCCTTTCCACTGACTGTCTTTTCCATTATAACCTCCTAAAGACTAGAAAGAAGACTCCTAGAACTACTTCAGAAGGTGGCTATAAAATGATGGAATAAGTGTGTTTTAAGAGGCCGGGCGTCGTGGCTCATGCCTGTAATCCCAGCACGGGGGAGGCTGAGGCAGGAGGATCATTGGGAGTTCAAGACTAGCCCTGGGTTCCAAAGTGAGCGCAAAGCCAGCCTGAACCACAGAGCAAGACCCTGTCTCAAAAAGACAACAACAACAAAAGTGTGTTAGAAGAAAAGAGGAGTGTTTTGAGTAAATATCAATGTCTTTTACTGTAATAATTTTTAAAAATGTAAACATTTACTGTGTCTGATCACACTTCATATCTATGTACATATATGCAGAAATGTATTGCCAGATCTCTTGCAATTCCAAACTTACTAAAATGGCTGAGATGCCCTCTCTAGCTAAAATTTAAACAGGCAAGGATGAGAAAACTGTTAAGTTAAATTCATTTAAAATAAAGATTTCCTATTTCTCCCCAAATTTCGAGAGCTCTGAAATGACACTATCCAGATTCAATTCAAAAAAATGTTTATTCCAACATTTACAAACTGTTTTGAGTAACCTAATAAATTATAAGGAATTAAAAGGTCCTGCCCAAAAACAATAAACAACAAATCTGTGTAATACACAAAATAACTAACTTGTAATTTCTATAAAGAACTTAACATGATTTTCTTGTAAAGACACACACACAAAAAGATCCTAGGAGAATTTTAGTTTGAAAGAGAGGTACAGCCGGGCATGATGGCGCACGCCTGTAAGCCCAACCCTGGGGAGGCTGAAGCAGGAGGATTGTTTCGAGTTGGAGACCACCTGAGCTACGAAGTGAGCTCAA